AGAGGGGAGCTGTGGGGAGACTTGCTGCAGTAGGACCGCAAATACTGTTGGGCTGCTCAGGTCAGGCATGTAACTGCCTCTGTGTGTTTGTTATTTATTTATTTTTTTTAATATTATTTGTTTGTCAGAGAGAGACACACAGAGAGACTACAAGTGGGGGGAGAGACAGGCAGAGAGAGAAGCAGACTCCCTGCTGAGCAAGGAGCCTGATGCAGGGATTATGACCAGAGCCAAAAGCAGCTGCTTAACCACTGAGCCACCCAGGCGTCTCGCACCTCTGTATGCCTTGCTTTGCTCATCTGGGAGATGAGAATTGTTCCCACTTTGTAGGATGGTTGCTAAGAATGGGTGGATCTGCTAATTGGAAAGAAATCCTTCCAGCAGCTCCTGGCACATACTAAACATTGAGTAGACATAAGGTGCTTCTGACTGTATCGTCCCCATGATTAGTATCACCATTGTCTCCACCTTCACCACCATCATCCCCATCAACACCTACACCATGATTATCAGCACCACCACCATCACCGCCTAAACCATCATTATCACCACCACCACCATCATCATCACTATAATCACCACCATTAAAATTACTACCTCCTTCACCATGATTATCATGACCATCAGTCATCACCACCATCACCACCATCACCTTCATCCCCATCACCACCACCATCACCACCACCACCATCATCATCACTATCATTACCACCATTAAAATCACCACCTCCTTCACCATGATTATCATGACCATCAGCCATCATCACCATCACCATCTCCTTCATCCCCATCACCACCACCTACATCATCATTATCACCAACACCAACATCATCATCACTATCGTCACCACCATTAAAATCATCACCTCCTTCACCATCATTATCTTGACCATCAGCCATCACCACCATCGCCATCATCACCATCACCTTCATCCCCATCACCATCTACACTATCATCACCACCATCACTATCACCACCATTGCTATGGACTAATTATGTCCCTCCAGAATTCATGTATTAAAGCTTTAACCCTCCCAAGGCCACTGTATTTAGAGATAGGGCTTTTAGGAGGTAATTAAGGTTAAATGAGGTCAAGAGAGTGGGGTCCTAATCAGAAAGGATTGATTACCTTATAGGAAATTGATTTGTCACAGTTCTGGAGGCTGGCAGTCCAAGCTCAGGGTGCCGGGCAGCTTGGTTGCTGGTGAGGACTCTTGGTGGTTTTTTTAGGTGGCTGCCCGCTCACTGTGAGGTAGGGATCTCAGAGAGAGATCTCTCTGTCTCTCCCTCTTCTCACAAGCACACCAGTTACTGAGTTAGTTCATCCTGCTCCAATATGACGTCGTCTTAACTTGATTACATCTGCAAGACCCTATTTCCAAATAAGATCACATTCACAGGCTCTGGGGCTTAGGACTTTTGGGGGAACAGGGTTTGCCCCTATATAGATGCCCTGGCAGGTGATGGGAGGTTAAGAACACACGAGCAGTTCAGTACACATACCTTGCAGAGAATCCGGTCTTTCTTTCATTAATGCGGCTTCCCGCCCCCGCCATAGTGGAACTGATAACACTGAGCACTGAGAACATCAGGTGTAACCTTGCCTGCTCTCTAGAGCTGTGTGAGCAGAAGGAGAGACGACCGGGGGCATGGATAATTCACAGCCTGGACCCGCGGCCTCTGAATAACATTCGGGGCTGTTTGTCTCATCTTTCCATGTTGACCACTGTCCAAAGCTCTCTAGATGTTTATGCCTCTGTGTACATCCACGATGCACTGGGGCCATTTGTAGGAGGGCCTTCCTCTAAACAAGTCTTGGTCTATGTAGGGAAGTTCAGAAGCTAGAAGGTTCCACAGCCTTCCCCCTGTGCCTCTTATGCTAGGACGGAGCCATAAAGAAACGCACTTTTCCAGATGCAAGGGGAGACGCTGTACCTGATGCATATATAATGACCTGTGGCCACCTCACCTGCTCTTAACATGAGCCCAGAGATCGATTTCCAGCTAGCTTTAGGCAGCCTTGGGTGTGCCACCAGCCTGGGAGTCCAGCATGAAGGACCTGCCCCATACATTGGCAAAAAGGGCACAGGTCTGCCCTCGAGCTCAAGGTCTCAGTCGCTAAGTGGAGAACCCCACGCAACATTTTCCCTAGCAGGAGAGCGCCAACCAGACACAGCTGTCTCTCTAGGATGACAGATTCCCAAGCCCTCTCCAAACCCAGCCTTTGTCCAGCCTCTGCTGAGGTCCTGCTTCCCTTTCCTTGACTTTGTTCATCAGACACTTGTCTTTGCATCTTCCTTCCTTGGAGGACACCCTGCTCTGCCTGGCCTCTTCTGCTTCTGCACTTTTTAATAAAGATCGTTGTAAAGTATACTTAGGATAAAGTTGACCATCTTCCCCATTTTGAAGGGCATGGTTCACTGCAATCAGATGCATTTGTGGCATCCTGCAACATCCCTGCCATCCCACTGCACAATTTTGCACCCTTCCCTAGTAAAGCTCTGTGCCCGTGAAATACTTGATCCCCACCCCCTCCCCCAGCCCCTGGCACCACCATCTCCTGTCTGTCTGCGTTTCCCTGCTCTGGGGACCCTGTACACATGACATCGTACAGTATTTGTCTTTCTGAGTCTGGCTGAGGTCGCTCAGCAGCATGTCCTCCCCGTTCATCCATGTTGTTAGCAGGGGTCCGTGTCATGCCTTTTTGAGGCTGAATCACATTCCATGGTGTGACTGGACCCCGTCTTCTTGATCCATTCATCCACTGATGGGTGCGTGGTTGGCACCTGCCTTTGGGCCACCGTGATGAGTCACGCTGGTCTGAACATGGGTGTGCAAGTATGTCTTCAACGCTCTTGCCTTTGTTTCCTCCGGGTGTACACTGGAAGGCGTCATGGATCGTACGATGATGCTAGGTTGCACTTCGCAGGCGCCCGCCATACTGTCCTCCACGGTGACTGCACCCGCTTGCCTTCCCACCAGCCATGCATGAGGGATCCCTGTTCCCCACATCCTCGCTGGCCCTTCTGGGTCACATCCCAATTGGCGTGACGTGGTCTCCATTTTGGACTCTTTCCTTCCTGCTGACCAAGGAGCAAAGGCACAAGGAGGACCTGAACTTCATACTCGCGGAAGCCCCATACCTTCCTCTTCCTGAGCCACCACTGTCTGCCTTAGAGATGGGCTCTCATCTGTCGGAGTCTTAGCGGGTGAGGGCTGGTCAGCTGTTTAGAAACAGACGTGGAAATCAGTATGGCCATCTTGAGCTCCGAAGTTGTACTTTTAGATGTCTGCCTTTCCCCTGCCATCAGGCAACACAGTGTGCCAGATAGAGCGTGCGGGGACGAGCCCGCAGGTGCTTTGGAAGGAGGGTAAAGTGTGTGCATGGACGGTGTGTGGTGGGGAATGCGTTCCTTCCCCGGGGCTGCCGTTACAGCTGCCCGACTGACGGGCTTCGGTCAACGGTACTCTCCCGTGGTTCTGGAAGTTGGGAGTTCTGGAATGAAGGTGTCTGCAGAGCCATGGTCCCACAGTGGCTCCCAAGAAAGGGGTCTGTTCTGAGCCTCTGTCCAGGCTTCAGGTCACCTCATGTGGTTCCTAGAGTGTAGGTGCCATCCCTGTGTCCCCAGTGGTCTTCCCTCTGTGCACGTCCATGTCCTCATCACATTTTTCCCCCCTCCATCTTTAATGAGGTATGATCAACAAATTGTACATATTGACATTGTACAATATGGTTTTCCAAAAGGCGCATAGTGTGATTTAATACAGATTGTAAAGCGATTATCACACTCAAGTTCGTGATCACATTTCATCATCTCTACCTGGTTACCACTTTTTTGCGGTGGTGGGAACGCACATAAGTTCTGTCTTCTTGGTAAATTTTAGATGTGAAACACGGTCTTATTAGCCAGTCAACATGCCATTCATTACATCTCAGGACTTATTTATATGATACTTGGAATTTTACCTTTTTTTATTAAAAAAAAAAAAGTCTTTTTTACAGGTGAGTTCTGGTTCACCTCCATGCTGAGGTATGTGAACTGGGAGAAAATGAAGACAGTCGGTCTTGCGTTTTCCATAGAGCGTAAAATTTAGAGATCTCAGCAGAAAGGTGACACACCTGTGACACATCTATGTTTTAATGAAACATAGTGCCTCTTTTTAAGTATAAGGAGAATTCTCTTATAAGGACAAGAGGACAGGAGCTCCATTTTTACCTTTTGGGAAAAAGAGAGATCCGAGACAGCACAGGGGAGGGGTGACCAGAGTAAAACACAACATACCTGACCTTGAAAAGCTCCACTGTCTGGGCTGGGTCCAGTTTTGGTGGGGGTGGGAGGGGTCAGCATCCCTTTTTTTCTAGCCCACTGTCCCCGAGGTGAGGCTAGAAGCTAAATTTTTGGCAAGTGTCTGCCCTTCTGCAGAGACAGTCCTTTCAAAAAGGCCCCTACCCTGTTTAAACCCTAAATATCCCAGTGTCTCTTAACCTAAGGATTTCTAGAAGCCACTGGTGAGATGAAAATGACCTCGAACCTATAGAAACGTTGAAAACACATCATAGGTTTTTGGGAGCAGGTGGAAAGGGCCATTAGTGGTGGGTTTGCCTTTCCTCTGGAGGCAAGCACTAGCTCGTTGATGGAGAAGACATGTAGGTTCATGACGGCTTAGTGAGTGAATTCTTGACTTCTTTCCCGTATCATTTCATGGGAAAACAGGTACCGTGGTATTTTTGTGTTTAAGTAGACCAAGGTAAGCAACAGCCACAGTGTGAGGCGGGGATACCAAGGACGTTCCTTCGGTTCTGTGTAGGTTAATGAGTGTTTGTAAGGGAACAAGTCCTCTAAGACAACGGCGGCGTCTCTGTCCAGCACAGTGTGTCCACGGGGTGGGCATAGGGCATCGTGGTAATCACCAACATCATTGTCACATTCAGTCCTTCTGAGATACACGCAGTCACTCGGCTCTCCTAACTCTCCATTATGCCCTTCTCTGTCCCCAGGACGTGGACCCTTTGTGGAACGCCTGAGTATCTGGCCCCTGAAGTCATCCAGAGCAAAGGCCATGGGAGAGCTGTGGACTGGTGGGCGCTCGGCATCCTGATCTTTGAGATGCACTCGGGGTGAGTAGGAGGGTCAGTGCGTCCTCTCCACTGCTTCCCTCCCCTGCTGCTGGACGTCTAGTGCTTTTGGTGGCAGATACCCATGATGTCCTCCCGTGCTGGTTTCCCTGTGCCAGCACAGCAGTGGGATACACGGGAAGCCCCAGCATTTGGAACCTTTCTCCTGTCTAAATGTCCCTGCCTCCCATGACTATAATATTAGGTCTTCTGCATGGGCTCTTTTGGAGCAAGGCAGAGAGCTCAGGTAATGACCGTATGTGTTGATAAAGATACATAAATTGCATACGATTTAGGACTTTATGAATGAGTCACATGCCAGAAAGGAGAGCGTGTGCCCGTACTTTCTTGGCGTGAGGCTAGTAAGGTTCTGCTTTCCCCACATCTGGACAGCAGAGGTGTTGAATGGGCACCACGGTATCACCGTGATTGAGGAGTCCAGCCTGGCAGAGGTACGCGGCAGGTATGATGTTCCTCTACCAGAAACATAAAGCAAACATTCCCCTGCTTAGAGATCCTAGATGTGGGGATTCCTCGTGGTTCCACGGAGGAAGGGCTCTTCTCTGTTGATGCAGCTCACAGCCAGCCGGTCTGGGAGGTGCCAGGACAGGGGTTGGGGGCCCTCAGACGTGCGGCCCCTGGCTTCCTTCCGCCCTCCCTGCTCCGTCCTTTGTCCTCCTTCTTCAGGCCAGTTTCCTGCTGGGGCGCTTGGCAGGTGCTCGGAGTTTACCCCCAGTTGAACCCAAAGCCTGACTGACTTCCACGTCTGGTTCCCTGCGGGGCAAGACCAGAGCTTTTTGCCTGGAAACCTTCCCTTTCAGTTGGAAGGAATGATGGAAGGAGGTGTATTTCTGCACAGAGGGTGTGGCCAAAGTGGAGTCTTGTGAAAACCTGTATTTCTCTATTATCTGTTTATCAACAGCCTACTCATATATCTATCATCTGTTACCATCTATGTGTCTGTTATCTCTTGTCACCTCTCTGTATCACATCTATCTATCCATCCGTCTCTCCATTTGTCCATCTACCAATCCGTCAGTCCATCCATCACTTGTCTATTCTGTCTGCCTGTCTAGCCATCCATCCGTCTGTCCATCTGCTCTCTGTCATCCATCCATCCATCATCTCTGTCTATCCATCCATGCATCCATCCATCCATCCATCCATCCATACATCCATCCTCCCTGTCTATCCATCCATCCATCCATTCATCCATCCTCCCTGTCTGTCCATCCACCCATCCATCCATCATCTCTGCCTATCCATCCATCCATCCATCCATCCATCCTTCGTGTCTGTCCATCCATCCATCCATCCATCCTCCCTGTCTGTCCATCCATTCATCCGTCCATCCATCCATCCATCCATCCATCCATCATCTCTGTCTATCCATCCATCCATCCTCCCTGTCTGTCCATCCATTCATCCGTCCATCCATCCATCCATCCATCCATCATCTCTGTCTATCCATCCATCCATCCATCCATCCATCCTCCCTGTCTATCCATCCACCCATCCATCCATCTTCTCTGTCTATCCATCCATCCATCCATCCATCCTCCCTGTCTGTCCATCCATTCATCTGTCCATCCATCCATCCATCCATCCATCCTCCCTGTCTGTCCATCCATTCATCCGTCCATCCATCCATCCATCCATCATCTCTGTCTATCCATCCATCCATCCATCCATCCATCCTCCCTGTCTATCCATCCACCCATCCATCCATCATCTCTGTCTATCCATCCATCCATCCATCCATCCGTCTGTGTGTCTGTCTGTGTGTCTGTCATCTGTTTATCTATCTATCCTTCCTATCCATCCATCTATCCATCCATCCATCATATGTATCCATCCATCCATCCATCCCTATATCTGTCTCCCCATCCATCCATCATCTCTCTAGCCATCCACCCACCCCCCCCATCCATCCATTGTCCATCCATCCTCTCTACCTGTCTGTCCTTCCACCCATCCACCCATCCATCCATCATCTGTTCTCTTCACCCAGACGTGTCCAGCAAATCACACGGAACCGAATTTCTTGACAGACACCCCAGCCTGTGAAGTCCCAAGCTGAGCAGAAAGCATGAATCACTCACAGGGCCCATCCATCCAGACCGTAACAACGGTTGGGGATGTGGATGTGCCCGTCTTCGTCAGATTCCTCCTCAGAGGTCCTGCAACCCATCTCCCTTCCTTTATGTTACTGACCACTAGAGGTCAGCATTGTTTAACAGTAAATGAACCCCCAGTGGCCAGAGCTTAATAGATGAAACTCAGCAGCTCTGTTTTCCCCATATTCCTACCGTACATTCGAGTAGGATATCTTGTACATAGAGAATATAACACTGTGAGCTATTATCAGTAAACACATGTTTGGGAAACAATATTGATGGCATAGAAGGAAAGTATTGGAATTAAAATAGAATTAAAATCGAATAAAATTAGAATGTAATATTGGGATGTATTAGAGTGAATATTTTAGAATTATTATGTAAAAATACTTATTGGAATGATTAGAATATTATGGTATAGTTTAAGTATTAGAATATGGTGTATTAGGCTATTAGAAGTAGAATGTTGCTAATATTCTCTTCGTGTGTTTGTAATATCATATGCTATAATATTAGGAGTAGAACAGAAAGTAGTGAAGTAAGATCTCATATATTAGGAGGCTCTGACTAGAATAATTGATGAATCATTAAAACCCCATCCCAGCCAAAACGCTGAATGTATTTCCATTTACCCATTCCTCGTTGGAAGGCATCAAGGCTTTCCAGAGGGATTTCTTGCGGGACACAAGTCTGTGCACATACCACAACATTCGCCAGTCCCTCCTGGGCATTCCGTGGTTCCCTCTGCAGTTCTGTCAGACTCAACCTTCAACCTTCCCCTGGACCACCTCTGAATTTTCCTCACTGTCCCGTCCAGCTGCTTCCTCTGCTTCTCATGTTTCCCTGGCACCAGGTGGAAAAATCCCGTGCGCGCGCGCACACATACACACACACACAAACACACACACACACACCCCAGCCAGGCCACGGTTGCTGCAGGTGTATGAAGAAAATGCATCTGCGTTCAGAGCTACATTCTGGGGGGAGGGGAAAGCCCTCCCAGAGCTCATGAATGAGACTTGTGGGACCCCAGGGTTCCATGGGACCCCACATGGAGAATCATGGCTGCCATACTTGAGACAAAGTGTCCTTGTTCCTACTCTACACTCTGCCGTCCATCCTTGCACAGCCCAGCTCTTTGTCCTTATCCCTTTCGTGAAGGACACAGGCTTTACGTTTTCTACGCATGTACCACGTCAGGGTGTCTTCGAGGAAGACATCAAAAATGGTGAACCAGGAGCACGTCCCCATTCTGGGTTCTGTCCAGAAACTCTTCCTTCTTTTCTCTTGAGTCCATGTCCACATTGCCCGCCTTGACCACCATTAGGGCGCCTCTTTCTGGACAATCCGTTCTCCTGGAAGGTGTGGGTGGGTAGAACGGATATGTCCAAGTCGTCATGGAGCGAGGATGGAAACAACCACCAAGTTGGCGTGATGCTGGGAGAGGAAACTCTCGACCTTCCTACGTGCCCACGGGCAGGTCGTCCTTTGGCACGCTGCTGGCTCCGTGGATCTCTTTAGCTCACTTACATAACGAGCGCTCAGTGCTTGTTGGAGAACTGGAAGGATTCTGTTGGATAAAAGACATATTTGAAGATTTCTTAGGGTGCTTTCCACATGCCTGGGGCATGGCTCATTCTCAGATCCCTGTTCTCTCTGCTTCTTCCTTCGGGCAAGATCTGGTACTGCTCATTTATTACCATTTTTTCCTGCTCATTAAACCACTGCTAACATACCTTCCCCATGATACAGCCCCATAACGCCTGCTTCCTGAGAACATTTTGTTTAAGGATTGTCCAATAAAGGCTGTTCGGTATGTAGGACACGTTTTCTCCTGGTGTTTAACAGGCCGTTTGTCAACGTGCGCCTTCCCCCTGATGAAATCCTGAGACGGGGCTGCCACCCAAGAAAGCAGTCTGACCCCCCCTAGCCATTGTTAGCGCATCTGGCCAACCAGAAGCGGCCAACTCGGGAGCTATGAACTGGAAGACATAGTTGGCGGGTGTGTATAGACCTTTCCTCCGAGCCTGGCCTGGGCAGCATCTCAGGACGGGAAGCTAGTAACGCTAGAAGCCGACAGTGGCCAAAGTCGTCGTAGTAATGAAACCCAAATAACCAGCGGCTCAGAGATTCTGCTGTGGCCTTCCCAGCGCAGGGCCTCTGCTCACTGCAGAGTGTATCCATGAATAGCTAAAATGTCACAAAGGGAAAAGCTGTTTCATGCCTTTATCGCGCACGGCTACACGTTCACGTTGACCAAGTGTCTTCCATTGTCCTTATTCACCTCCCTCTTCTCCCTCAGCTTTCCCCTTAATGTTCTTTTTTGGTACTTTTTTGGTACTAGTTTTCCAGTTTTTCATTTCTCTATAATGCAAATGCAGAGTTAATGTGTCTCTTCTATATATCGGTAGTGGACAGGACAAATGGCTAAAAACATGGTGGCTTACAATGGAAATCCATCCTCTCCCACCTCTGAAGACCAGAACTCTGAGACCCAGGCGGGGCAGGGATGCTGAGATCCAGGCAGGCCAGTGTCATGCTCCCTCCCCAGCCTCCAAGGAGGGTCCTTCTTGCCTCTTCCAGCTTCTGGGGCTCCAGGCATCCCTGGGCTGGTGGGCACGTCCCTCCTTGTCTCTGCCTCTGTCCTCATGTGGCTTCTCCTCTCTGAATCTCTTCTTCTATTTCTTATAAAGACCGTATCATTGGATTTAGGGTCCACCATAAACCAAAATGGCACCCACAGTCCCATTTCCAAACAGGTCCCCAGTCTTTCTTCCTCCAGGAGTGATGCCTGCGTAAAGAGAACAAAGAAATGGGTGTTGCTGAAAACTTAGAAGCCAAGAGATCCAGGAAGTGTCTATAGGAGTGTCCTGGGGCAGCTGTAACAAATGACCAGAGACGAGGTGTCTTAAAACCACAGGAATTCATCCTCCTCTAGCTCTGGAGACCTGAACTCTTGACACCCAGGCAGGGCAAGGCCCCTGAGATCCAGGTGGGGTAGGACCTCTGAGATCCAGGCAGGACAGGGCTGTGCTCCCTCCAGAGGCTCCAAGAAGGGTCTTTCCTGTCTCTTTCTTCCAGCTTCTGGGGCTCCAGGAGTCCCTGAATTTATGCCCATGTTCCTCCCTTCTCTGCCTCCGTCCTCATGTGGCTTCTCCTATGTTTGTCTTTCCTCTTCTGTCTCTTACAGGGACACCTGTCATTGCATTTAGGGCCACTGTGATCCAGAATGAGCTCATCTCAGTATGTGTCACTCAATCACATTCGCAAACTCTCTTTCTCCAAATAAGGTCACGTTCTCAGATGGTCAGGGTCAGAACATGGATGTACCTTTTTGGAGACCATCATTGCCCTCGCTATATTCTGGTTTTTTAATTTATTTACTTTTTTAAAATGTCAGAAATTGACTTGGAATCAACAGGAATTTTTTTTTTCTTTTTCCTATTGACAGTTGACCTCTTCCATCAGGATATCATTGGAAAACTCCCTCTTTTTTTTGTTTTCTTTTAAGATTTTATTTATTTATTTGGGGAGCGACCATGAGCAAAGTGGGGGGCCAGAGAGAGAATCTCATGAGGTCAGGACCTGAGCTGAAATCAAGAGTTAAACGCGTAACTGACTGAGCCACCCCATGAAAACGCCATTTTTTAAAAAAGATTTTATTTATTTATTTGAGAGATAGAGATCACAAGTAGGCAGAGAGGCAGGCAGAGAGAGAGGGGGAAGCAGACTCCCCGTTGAGCAGAGAGCCCGATGTGGGGCTCGATCCCAGGACCCTGGGATCATGACCTGAGCCGAAGGCAGAGGCTTTAACCCACTGAGCCCCCCAGGCGCCCCTGAAAATGCCATTTTATAAGCTATGGCCGGTGGTTCTTTCAGGGAATTAGACGTTCTCCTTCTAAAGGTTCCAATTACCAATGTCCTTCTGAGTTAAGGGTCTTTCCCTTCCGCATTCTGAGCAGAAGTACAGCTTGTGCCTTGGGTATATGGGTGGGTATCTGGCCCATGTTTATTAACTTCTGTATTTTCTTTGATTTTTCTAGCTCTTTGCACTTTTCAGTATGTTCTTGTGTAACTTATTTCATTTTTTCCCCCCCTATTTCAAGGTATTAGAGAAGACATGTGTGTTGGTTTCTGTGCTAGGACGACAGTCTTTCCTTCTGATAACTATGCCATAGACGGTAATACTTAAGTGAGTGAGCAGGCACGCGTTGCCAATAAAACTTTATAAAAACAGGCTGCAGGCTGTGATGCGCTAGATCTTTGTGGCCCAAACTGCTAGTTAGGAACCAGCCTTCCTCTCGCCTAGCTCCCTATGTGTGACCTACGTGAATTCATCTAGTATGGAGGTTCAGATACTGGCTACTTACAGACATATGGTCTACCTGGACCAAAGACAAAAGAATAGGACACGGTGTTACACGTCCTCCTCCATTTGCCCTGCTCACGTTTATTGAGCACCTACTGTGTGCCACATAGTACCCTATGTTTCAAGAGTACAAAGAACTTCACTCCTGGTCTGATGGTGGGGTGACCTTGTGAACGTCCTGCCTGTGTCGAGCTTCTAGAAACACCGCTTGCTACAAAGCAGAGATTTTTTTCCGTGCTCGCTCTCCGCTAAAAATAGCTGTTTATTTTTCTTACAGGTTCCCTCCATTTTTCGATGACAACCCGTTTGGCATTTATCAAAAAATCCTTGCAGGCAAAATAGATTTCCCCAGACATTTGGATTTCAGTGTAAAGTAAGTAAACCGTTTCCCTCCTCATCGGGGCAGGGGTGTGTGTGTTTATTTTTAAAATCACAGAGCAGGCATCGCCGAGCAGGACGACATACTGTGTTCTTATTAGGCTATGCTCCGTGTCTTCTGGACAGTCAGCTTTTCCACCAGACGGGAAAAGGTGGTCGTCATTCTACCGTAATGATACTTAACCTTTTCATAACTCTTGGCCAGATTTTATGGGCCTTGAGAGAAATGACATTTACAATTAGCCAATACAGGCATTTGTGAATCACACTGAGTAAGAGAACCATTGGGGTATTGGACGAAAAGGGTTCCTCCCAGCCCTTCACCTCCTCTAGCTGGTTTTGCTGTTGGCGGGACTGTCGATGGCTTTAGCAGGCTGTCTCTTTTTCCTCCTGCTTCAGTTACTTTCATTCTTAAATTCCTTTTTCATGCTGATATTAAGGCTGATAAACATCTGTTATGAGGACTTCTCTACAGCTTCAGTGTTAGTGACTTTGGTGTGTAGGTTATTAAATTCGTGGTGACGGCGGGGAGAAAACTCAAGTTTTTAAAACTCCCAGAATGTTTTGGCGTTCCAGTTACCTTCGTCCATCTGGTCATCTAGTAGACATTTTAGTATCGTGATTTCTAGTTCTTTCCTTGCATTTCTCAGGTGAGCCAAGCCCAGCTGATCACAAGGTGGTTAACTGAGTTTAGTCAAGAACTAAAATTTTTTCTCTTTTTGCTATTTTTTTAAAAGTAACCCATGGGCAGGGAGTACAGAGAAAACTGATTTCATGACACTGGGACAGCTGCCAGTTGCTTTTCTCACTGGTGAAGGTCATCTCACTCCTCCACAGAGGCTCTCCTTCCAAGTAGAAGACAGTGTTTCCCTCGGCTGGTTGGGCCTCAGAGGTGGTGGTGTGTTTGACACACCAGGCAAGTTTTAGAAGACAAGCAAGAAAACTAGGTTCCGTTAAAAATAGTCATCCAGAAGGCGGGCAGTCTGTCCTGTGAATGGTAAGACAGTGAGGCGCGAAGGGAGATTGAGCAGTCAGAACTTTCTTTTCTCTAGAAAGAAATGGAAAATACTACATAGAGCTTCTCCCTCAGGATCCAACTCCCATTAGACTTGAGTGACATTATGTCACATGGATATGCCAACATTTCCCAGTGGTTGGCTTTGATTGAAATCTACTCACGCCCATTGGCAGATCAGCTGGTTGGTGGTGACCTTAGACCATTGACATTCAGGGTAAATCTAGGGGGTATGGGCATCCGTTGTCTTGTGTGGATGCCCACTGGCAGAGTCCATCCTGAGGTATACAGCTGTGGCTTAGCTGTTGCTCCCCGTCAATAGAGTGTGGACTGTCTCTTGGATTCTCCAACTCAGCCCCTTGTAGAATCCCCTGACGGTCTTAGGCTGGGCAGAACCTTGGGGGATATAGTCCCTTCCTCTTGCAAGCAATGACCTAAACTCTTCCAAAAGCTGGCTGGTTCTTGGTTTCCCCAGAGAAGGGACAGCGCATAAAATTGTAGGTCATTTCTTCCATCATTGGTGGGAAGGGCTCAGGTCGGTCATGAACATACTACGTTTATACTGTCCCGTGGAAAAAAAGGGACTACGACAAACATTAAGTTTAATCTACGTTTAGTGTCTTACTCCCTATGCCTCTTTTCCTTGTAGTCTATTCTGAGAGAGACCCATCAGGGTCTGCCCTGCTGTCCTTTGGTCTAGAATGCTCCTTGTATAGCAGTCTATTCTTCTCTCTTGCCTGGGACCCCCAACATGGGGGCTCAGCCAGAGCAGGAACCTGGGATCCTTAGGTGCAGTTGCTGATTGCAGATGGTGGTTGAGAAGAACTTCACTTCTTCCCATTATTGTCTAGATCTTCCCAAGTTGGATGAGAAGCAGGACCTGATGAGACTTGTGTATCCAAACCACTGCCATTGGGTGCCATGACGGTCGGATTTTTACTTTCAAGTTCTCAAGGTCTTCTGTTGTTGTTGGTTCACAGAACCTCGGCATTTGACTATGTCCCCTTCCTGCCTGGGCACATGTGTCTTTGGATTGTCACTAAGATTCCTTGTAGGATCTTAGGCAGCTGAAAGGACGTTAGACCTTTGGGGCGTGTTGCCAACGTGGTAGACCAAACACCTTCCCAGTGTTTCTTCCTGTCTCAGAGTGGTTGGAGAGAAACCAGGCAGGATAGAAGCAAGGGATTTCCAGTGGCCACAGAGCCTGTCCCAGGATTGCAGGCACCTCCAGAGTTCCTACACGGCTTTGCCATATTGGACAGCCCCTTTACATCCGTACCCCTTGCTTTTGGGACTGTGCTGTTCTGTAAGCGTTCAATTTTATATTTTATTTTTAATTATTTTTATTTTTTTTATTTTTATTATTTTTAGGGTTCAATTTTATATTTTAAATAAAACTTCATTTATTTAGAACCCCAGTGTAGACCGCTTTAAGTACATGCACTAACAGTAAATGGTAGAAAAAGAGAAGGGAAAAAAACACATTAGTTGGGATTGTTTGAGAGTGTGGTGTTTGGTGATTGACAGTCTAGGCATAAGGCATTCGGGGATCTTGGGACCCTGGACCTTCCCATATATTGCCACAGGACTTGGGATTCCAGAGCCTGTGGCGTGAGTCTGGGGGTGTGCTCCTTAACCCAGGGCATAAGATTCCTTTCAGTTTTGCAAAGTTGTGTCATGGGTTTTTTGAAGCTGGACCATAGGTCTTTTGATTTGTCTGGGGGGTTTCAATTTATATTTGAAGTCCCTCGATATTACTGTCCATAATATATTCTATGTGTTATGTGCAGAGACACACACAAGCACGAATTTTATTTCCTTACCTTTCATTTCTAGAACTAGCCTGTCTTCTGAATGTCTTGACATAAACTATCAGATCGTAATGGCCCTGTATTCTGAAGTGGGTGGGGAAGCAGAGTTTAAGGGACTCACAGAAGTTTGTGTGTTATGGGAGAGCAAGCAACATACAACCAGAATCCCATAAATAAGTAGCTCCTTAGGGCAAACCATGGCCATTCATTTTGGTAAAAGCAGATGTCTTCTCTTGGGCAAGGACAGACTCACGGGTACATTTTAACTGAAATGTCGCTATACTTGGGGCAGACACATAGTTTTCTCGCATCTTCTATTGAAAGGCTTGATTTCTGCACAATGATGTAATGGACCTTTTCCCCTTTGCTCTGTCCCTCTGTGTAGCCAGCCCCGCTTTGCATAAATTACTTAGAAACCCGTATCGGTGAAGAAACAATTGTGAGAAAACGTGGAGGCAAAATGAAAATTGATCCTCCCTCCATTGCATAATATTGCCGTTGACACGCCGTGTTTGCTTGGGTCCCTATCAAGATGCATCTTCTTTTTGTCTTCTTCCCACATGTAGAGACCTCATTAGGAAATTGCTGGTCGTTGACAGAACCCGACGCCTTGGAAACATGAAGGTCAGTGTTTGTTTTCGTACGTCTTACGCACGAGACACTCCCATCACTTGGCACCATACATACATTTCTATTTATAAAGACAATGGCGCAGTGATCGTGTTTAATGGTTGGCTGAAGTTGAGATCTGGGTGTCTGGGCATGTGAAATCCACCTGGGTCTATACCGCATCCCTTCTTCTCTCCAGATGAGTAAATGACTCACCTGTCATCTCCAAGATGTCGGTATTTTGCTTAGTTATTCCGACTTTTCAAATAACGTGATGGACCTATAACTCATGTACCATACATGCCTCCCCATTCTGAGCGTGCAGTGTAGCACCTTTTACTATGTTTGCAGAGTTGGGGAACCATCCCCAAAGTCAGTGTCAAAGAACATTTCCTCCTTCTCAGAAAGAAACCCCATACCCTATGCTATTGTTATCCAATCCTTTCATCCCTCCTGCCCTTTCTGTCTCTGTAGATTTCCCTGTTCTGGGCTTTCCTGTAAATGAATCACAGCATAAGTGATGTTTTGTGTCTGGCTCCTCCCATGTTTTCAGGATCTGTCCAGATGCTAGCAGGTGTCAGTGCTTTGTTCCTTTCTATGGACAAGTCACAGTCCATTCATGCATGGACCCCACCATGTGTACTCATCCCTCCGCTGATGGACAATTGGGTTGTTTTCCACCTTTTGGCTGTTGTGAATAGTGCCATAACCGTGGATGTGCACGTCTGTGTGGGAATTAATCATTTGAGAAAGTGTACATCATGTGTGATTTTCACAAACTTTTCATGTAGAGGGGAATATATTTAAGAGATGATTGCGTAAATGATATGATATCTTATATGCATGTTTTGGTTCTGTTGTGGCACCTCTGAGTCTAAGAGAATCTGGGAACATCTTCTTAGCTATTTCTGGTTCTGGATATCCATGGAGGAACTTAATCATGGGTCCATACCTTGGTCTTGTCTACCGTAGTCTTGGGAGACACAGTAGACCTGTGTGTGAGGCTTGATTCACACCAAGCTCTCAGGACCATCTGTTGATGTGGGTGTATTTGTGTCCAGTGGCTGCTGTAACAAAGGAGCAGAGTCTGAGATCCAGGTGGGGCAGGGCCACTGAGATCCAGGTGGGGCAGGGCCATGCTCTGTCCCAAAGCTCCAGGGGAGGGTCCTTCTTCCTCTTCCAGCTTCTGGGGCTCCAGGTGTCCCTGGGCTTGTGGCCACGTCCCTCCCACCTCTGCCTTTGTCTTCATGTGGCTTCTCCTCTGTGTCTGTGTCTCTCCTACTCTGTCTCTTGCAAAGACACCTGCCATTGGATTTAGGGCCACCCTGATTTGGGATGAGCTCTTCTCAGATCCTTCACTTAATCAGATGTGCCAAGACCCTATGTCCAAATAAGTTATTCTGCACAGGTACCAGGTGACATTTCACAAACTTTATGTTATGTTCAGATCCACTGGCTTCTTCCTATGTCACAGAATTCATGTGTTTCTGTCTTAACAATTCCCAACATTTAATAGATTAAAAAAGTTGCTCCAAGGGCCATAAAAAGGGATGAGATGGGTAGGGTCAAAGGCTGAACAGCTGGGAGGGATTAGGGTTAGGGATAGGGTAGGGGATGAGGTTGGGGTTAGGGTTAGAGTTAGGGTTAGGTTTAGGTTAGGGTTAGGATTTTCAAAGACCATGATGCCATTGACATCTGCAAGTTGGCCATTGGTGTCAGCCTTGAGAGTGAAGGGGACAGACCATAAGAAACCATTTATTACACAAACATGGATAGTGTAATTGGAAAGTCCTTTGGGTAGCTGTTAAGATCTCTGAAGTGGACATGACGGGTTTGAGTCCTAGTCATGTGACGTGCTAGCATTGAGATACTGAGCCAATGACATCATTTAGTGAACCATGGTTTCTAGGTATGTATGATTAAGATGCTAAATTCTGAAGAAAACCATCAGGATAAAAACAAGCGGCAGACTCAGAAATGTCCTTCTGTCTGTCTTGTTTTTTCTCAGGAGCCTGTATCAAAGTCCTACTTCTGTGTGTGGTCCAGACTGGTCCTGACAGGATTTCTTTCTACTCTGAATGAAAGTGAACAAAACACAACACCTTTATGTATATATTTTCCCTCCTAGGTCACAGTCCAGGGACGATGACTCAAAACATAGCACACTTTTTAAATTTAATTTTACTTTTTAATTGTCTATTAAGTAGAGATTCTCTGGAGTGTTTTCTTCCCTGTCCTGTCAAAATTCTGTCTACTGACGGTGCCTGTTTCTTTTGAAGAACGGAGCGGATGATGTAAAGCGACACCGGTGGTTTCGAACTGTGGATTGGGAGGCGGTCCCACAAAGGAAACTGAAGGTACAACATACGTACGAGGGTGACTCTTGGCTCAGCATCGTTACCTGTCTTCAGCAAGGGGCAGAGTCTGATTCTGACTTGTTTACTTATAGCTGATACATAATTAATTTGTATAATACAGCTGATCATCTCAAATCATTAATAAGCCAAGATCCCTTTTCAGTGGAAATCTTAGTGCTACAGAGACACCTAGAGGTAACGGGTTCAGACCCCACATTTTACAATTGGGTTTTTTGAGACCTGGCTCTGTCCCTCACTTGAACTATGACTAGGATGAGTCCCACCAGTTTCTAATTGGGAAAGGTAAATGTTGTAACACAGATCACGTGTTTGTCCAACATTTATGGATAATGTACAGTGATGGTGGTAGTATTTTCTAGCTCACCTTTCTTTGAACTGAATATATACACAGGCATACACACACAGCACACACACACACACACACACACACACCTTTTTAAAAGATTTATTTATTTTAGAGAAAGAGAGCATACACATGTGAGGGGGAACACAGGGGGAGGGAAAATCTTAGCCTGACTCCTAGAGTTGCTGGGGGACTTGATCTCACGGCCTTGAGATTGTGTCCTGAGCCAAAATCAACAGTTGGACACTTGACCCAGAATTGAAATATATTTTTTAATTTTCTTTTTTTTTTTTTAATTTTAAAAAAGGTTTTAAGGATTTTATTTATCTATTGACAGAGACACAGTGAGAGAGGGACTACAAGCAGGGGGAGTGGGAGAGGGAGAAGCAGGCTCCCTGCTGAGCAGGGAGCTCAATGCAGGGCTCGATCCCTGGACCCTGGGATCATGAGCTGAGCCAAAGGCAGTTGCCTAACAACGGAGCCTCCCAGGTGCCCCTGAAATGTATTTTTGACAGGAATCTTCAATAATGACATTCTCAACCTTGGACATTTAGAGTCAATGGAAGGACTTTAAAAATGCTTATGCCTGGCCCCCAACCTAGAACGTAGGGTTCAGCCCAGACCACCAGTGTCTCCATGAACTGCTTTTAAGTGTTTTAATGTATTCAGTGACTAATTTGTTAAAATTAAATAAACGACATATTTTCATCATTCAAAAACCAAATCAGTATTAGAAGATGTGCATTACTGAGTGTTACTCTCTTGCTCTATTTCCTCCCAAAGCCCCTTATTTTTATAAATAAAGTTTTATTAGCACACAGCCACCTGCCTTCATTTACATGTGGTCTGTGGCTGCTTTCCCCCCACCAGGGTACAGCTGACCGTTGAGCACCGTTAGAGTCAATGGAAATTCCTCTGCCTGCAAGACCAAAAATATTTACTGACTGGTTCTCTATGGGAACCTTTGGCTGACCTCCTTTTCAGTGCCAGTGACCTCATTTTATTGATGCTGCATTGAGGCTTGGCATTGGTGATACTGTCAGTGGAGTCTGCTGTTGTTGACATCTTTCTGGAATTTTCTAAATTCTGGCCACTGGAGCAGCTACTTCAGTATCACTCAGACCTGGGCAGGCCTGGGCAGCTGCGTGAACAAGCATCTGGGTGGTTCTCCAGTCTAGAATTTAAGAAGCAAGAGCGGGCTACCATCTTTTCTCCCTTCGTTCCTCATAATGCACCATTGGTGGACACCTTACTCACAGTATTTCTGGTTCAAAGCTTTCCATGTTCATAAACAAAGCAATGACAAGTTTGGTTTCTCTGTGCTTTTTTCCCCCAAATCATCTCTGTTGTTATGTAAAGGTGTAGACATAAAGGGCTGCACGTCCCATCCAGGTGTGCACTGTTTCCTCCTGACTGTGCCTCTGTGTTTCCCCTGGCCCTGCAGCCCCCCATCGTGCCGAAGCTATGTGGCGAGGGTGATACCTCGAACTTCGAAGCGTACCCTGAGAATGACTGGAACACGGCTCCTCCAGTGTCGCCGAAAGATTTGGAAGTCTTCAAGAATTTCTGAGGACGGGAATTCTCCTCTGGAAGGTGTATCTTTAGACACAGTAATTATGAATCAGTGAAGCTGACGTGTTCTCCCATCAAGGGGATGTTGCTGTTGGCGGAGCAGGGCTTCCCTCATCCCCGGGGACTCAAGCAGTGGGGCAGAGCTAGATGGAATCCTTCTAGCATCAGCTTGGTCAACACCCTGGGGTGTGTTACTCAAGACATGAAGTGTGGCCCAGAGATAGCATTGCCTCCAATGTCCCACTCCCCAGATACACCTGTTGGGGCAGAATCCACATCCAGCTAAGACCCCTGTGAGATCCGTGTGCACCTGCACAGTCCAGGGCACAGCCCCTTTGATTAAAAAAAAAAAAAAAAAAAAATACCTGAGTCCTTGTGTTCTAGAAACCCTGAGTTCCAGACCAGTATCCTCCCAGATACCAACCAAATATTTTCGGAAGGGTTTTTTTTTTAGACCCCTTTTCAGTAAAAACTGATGATGGCAGTAAACACCTATGATGGGATTGGCTAAGCTCCATTTGACATTTAAAAGAATGGATTTTTTAGTCATTTCTTTGAAACTTTAAGGTCTATGACCCTGTGTGGAAGTGATGACTTTGAAGGATCTTTTGATCCTTGGGTAGTGAAGACCTTTCAGTTACTCCCAGTTCTGTGAGGAGCTTGGTGATGTATACCACTTGGTTTTTCCTTCTCATGGCATGCAGGCAAGAAAAATGTCAGGAAGGAAGAGAAGCAAGATACAACCAATGAGAGTTCTCCTCCTTGACTTTTCTTGTTTTTTTTTTTGTTTTTGTTTTTGTTTTTTTTTTGTTTTTTTTGGCCTCTGTTTATCCCCCCAACAGTAATTATGTGGAATGGGAGAAATAACTGGTCAATACAATGTTCAAGTTGACACCGTTCTAGAGCCCTCCCCAGAGGGACACGTTGTGTACCAGAGACCTCTACTCTCTGCTGGTCTTGCCACGCAGATCCTGAGGGGAAACCTGCCTAAACGTTAAAATGTGGAAACAAAAATTCAGTGACAGAGAAGACAGGTGTCCCTGTGGATGAGAAGGGAACATGTCTGCTTGATGGGTTTTAGTCTTTTCAGCACATAATGACCGTTCTCCGGAGGTTCTCTTAAAAAAGACTCTCTTTTGCTTTTCCAGCTTCTGCAAAGCTCGTGAAGGCCAGTTAATGAGTTTTAAAAGTAGGAGGTGTTTCTAAATTTGGGTTTTACTTTCTCTTCTGTTCATTTGCTTCAATTTTGAATGATTTGCCTGTAATATTTTGTGAATGACTTTTATCCAGTTATCCTTAAATGGAAGGCGTGATCCATCTTCCATCTTGATGCAAGATGGGGTATGTTTTCTAGTGCATGACACTTAGTTGATAAGCCAGAGGACTGCAGCCCTTTTGTAACAGGGATACTGTTAAATTTACTTAAGGAGACACAGATCTGCCATCTGATGGGGTCTGTCGTGTACTTGGGGGATAGTTTTCTATTCACGGTTGGGAATTGTATCCCCAGAGGCTCCAGATGGGTTTTTAGCAGATTCTGGAGACAGGAATAACTTTCTCAAGGTGGGGCATATCCTTGGGAATATACGTGTAAATGGCATTTTTTTGTGTGCCTGGTGTCATCCTTGATGGACTTCGGCCAGTGGTGGGGACGCTGTTTGATGACCTTCTCGATGAACCTTGGGAAATCAAGAAATCCTGTCATGATCACATGACTTTGTGTTTATTCCACAACCTTGGATTTTGGTCTCTTGCTGGAGCAGCTAGACGTCTTAACATTTGACTTTGTTTCCCCGATTTTGCACAAAGGATGGGACAGAGATCTGGCGTTTTCAGTGCTGAGTAAACACGTGTGACCATCTGTGAGGGAAGGTTATTTCTTCGTGAAGCAAAATGGTCTCTCATTGATGACGCCCAAGTGCAGCTTAATGCCCGCTTTCCAGAGCCAGTTAACAGCTGTATGACTAACCCACTCACCTTTGAAAAGTGAAGTCTCCCATCTCTTCAGCTCATGGAGGGGACTGTTAGGATGCCTGGCAGGGAGAGACCTCCCATTTTGGTTTTTATTTGACTTCAGCATTTGACTTGAGAGGTTTTCTCTCTAGCTGGAAAGTTCTGCGGTGAACACATTGAGACAGGACCTGGTTTTGCTTGTGGAATCACTCTCCTCTCTTTGCGTAGATGAACATGGGATAATTCTGTGCATGATACCATCGTATCCTATTTAAGACTCACTGTTAAAATACTGGTTAACTTTTTTTTTTTTGTAAAGACTTATATACTTAGAGATAGAGAGCATGAGCAGGAGGGGTATAGGGAGGAGAATCAAGCAGACTCCATGTTGAGCAGAGCCAAACACGGGGCTCAATCTCATGACCCTGAGAGCAGGACCTGAGCTGAAACCAAGAGTCAGATGCTTAACCGACCAAGCCACCCAGGCATCCCATGGCCTTCTGATTTTATTAATAAGCATTCATAGAATTCATGCTTGTGGATCTTTGCAAGAAGAATTGCAAAGGAACGTTTGTTCTTCTGTATTATGGAGTTATTTTTGAATTGTTAGTACGATTACTATAAAACTTACCTGGTTATTCTGAAAACTAACAAAATCCTTTTTTTTTTTTTTTTTTTTAATTTGTGTCTCAACTAGGATGATTTAAACCTGCTGGGAACAAAGAGCTGCACATCCGCTGTGAAGAAGGGTCGTGTCCACGGGATAAGGACATTTCCATATTCTAGAAGTCCGGATGTACATAAAGAGACTGCATATCCGTACAAAGTCATGGACCTGGCATTATTTAAGCAACTGGAAATTAAGCATCATTAAGCAACTGGAAATCTACTGCACAGTAGGACCTTTCAGAAAATTGTTTGGTTGTAGATTTTTATCTTATCTCTTCGTGTGATGAACCTACTGTGATGTCTTGGTTTTCCTCGTAGACTTAACTTTATGAGTTTGAACTGAACGTGTTTGGTTATAACCACAGAAGGCGCGTGCGCGCGTGTGCGTGTGTGTGCTGTGTGTGTGTGTGTGTGTGTGTGTGTGTGTGTGTGAGAAAAGACCGTGGGACTGGTGCACAGGAATTGCACCATTATGTTCATCTTTATACTTCGCAGAGCCTGCGATTTTGTAGCTTGTGAGGAAACCTGTTCTGGTGGTCCATGTCCCGCATCTTTCGTGCTTCCTGTCTGGTGACCTTAGGTCTTAAAACCAGAAGGGAAGACAAGGATGTGTCCGTTTGAGTTTGAGTCTGAGAATACCAGTGGCCATTAATGTTGTTCAAGGCAGGGAATGCCGTCCAGAAATTTCCTGCATCACATCTGGAAATTCTGTAGTCCATTGTGGTGGTGATGGGAGGAGTGGCAGGTGTCTACCTAATAATATCCCATTTGAGCTCTGTGTCCAGCCAAATGCAGAGCTAACAAGTGACTTTCCACGTTGGCTCAGTTGCACGGGTGACTTTCATGCAAGCATGTTTTTATTTTAACTTCCATTGTGGGAAGAGTAAGATGCAAATGAGCTATAGGGTGTCAGTGTTCCATGTAGTAGAAATTAATCCCTCTTGGTTCTTCTGTTTGGGTGCGTCCAGCACACTCTTGTCTCGTAGGCAGGGCGGGCTTGTACAGACTTATTAGTGGGTGAGATTTTGTCTTTTCCTCTCTCGACCTGATTGTGAAGATACAATGAAGAGAGCACCCTGCCCATGCTTTCCCCTTGGGATTGACTTAATGCAGGGTGGGTGCAGAGTAGGCTCCAGTGGGAATGTTGCTAGATGTGGGTCTTTCCAGAAAACGAGGCATGCAAAGAGGTCCTGGGGGTCTGTGCTGTCTGTGATGCATTGCCTTGTCTCTCTACTGGCCGTGACTCAGCTGGACAAACAGAGTTGCTCATATCTGTGTTGTGTCTGGTCTTAGGGCTCAGCCATGACCTTCTGCAGGGATGTCTGTGCACTTAACTAGTAGGTGCCAGAGCCTTTGTGACCACAGAGGGAAACCCACATAGAGCTCCAAGACCCTGTCTCTACCCTTCCTTTCTTCCCATGGTTGGCCCAGAAAAGTCCACCTCCTTGGGCACTGGGTCTGGGAGCAGCACTGCCCTGGGAGATGTGTTGCTGAAATGGGTGCGGGGAGGAGTCAAACCTGGGCACCCTCTCAAGGCTTCTCCAGCTCATGTGTTCTCAAGTCACCTTATGGATTCTTGGCTGTCGTAGACATTATTATTCTCCAGTGCCGTGCTTGGAAAGACCTTTTCTGTCCATGTAACCTTTTGTACCTCTCCTCTGTGACCACGTATGTGGACGTGGAGAGCCGCCGTGTGGGAAAGTCATACATTTCTTTGAGCAGCAAAATGTCAAAGGCCACGTAGTCGCCTACCCAATTTGGCCAGATCCCACTCACAAGTCAGAAGGCTGGGGTTCTGTGTGCTGCAAGGTGGATTGGAGAACATGTGCACCCACCCAAGATTTAAAAGACCCTGAACTCAAAGCCACGCCGCATTTCCCCCTTTCTCATACATCACCTGCTCTTCAAATACAAATCCAGTGAGTAAGGTCAGGACGACTGCAACATTTAGTAAAATAAACCGTATGTAATGAGTAACTCAAAGGAAAATTATTTTTAAAGGGCGAGCTGTATGGATATTCCAACAGAACAGTGTTTTTAGTCTGGACTGAGCAATCCCTGTGCTGGTTTGCATTAAGTAGGGGGCCAGAATGGGCATCACTTTCAGCACAAAATGTCTCGTCACGGGCTGTTACCAGTCTGACGTTGACAGTTAACTGCCTCATCATTGACTGTTACAAGCCTAAATCGGCAAAGGGATGGTGCACTGAGATACAAACCCACGTGGGGAAAGCAAAGATCTCACGTCCCCTGACTTATAAAAATAAATTATTATTATTTTGGAGCCCTGTGCTTAAGAAAATAAAAATAAATGAAACACCTCTCTTGAAGGTGATAAAGCATTGTATTAGACACTTTGGCCCGTATGCATATTTTCAGGTTTAGTTCTCACTGTCCCGGATTTAATATAGGATATGAAAATAGCTTCAAGAAGGCATGAAATAAGATGCCTTAATATTGGACAGATATGCACACACATACACACACACATGCACACACACCAACATTAATGCACGGATCACATGGTTCTTTAAAAACATTGTCATCGGCCGTGAGCCATGCAAAACAAATTAAAAACTAAAAGGAATTCCAAGAATACCAGATGGTGTTAAACTCAGTCTTGCCATTGCAATATTGAAGGTGGCACACGCCATGTGTTAACGGCCCGTGGCTGGACTGTTAAATTAAGCAGGGTGACGTAATGCAAAGACTGATTTAATCCAAATAAGTCCCAAACACATGGGACACTCATGATATATCATTGGAAAGTAGTCTACTCGGTGGGGGCACTCTGAAAATTTCAGGTATCTGATCGGATATCTGTGTGCAAAAGTCACCAGAAGAAATGTCATGGAACTACTCGCAAAAATTCGCATCAGGAAAAAAAAAAAAAAAAAAAAAAAAAAGATAGACTCCTTTTCGTTCTATGCAATTTTATGAGTTGGCAATATTTTCTTAAATACAGATACCATTAAAAAGAAATTCCTCAGGAAACGCGTGTTTTGCAAAGAAATGTGTTGGGGCGGTTGCTGTTTTCCTAAGGGGATTGTCACCAGCCTGCTTAAACACACAACTGTAAAGCTCAGAAGGAAATTGAGTCACAGCTGGCCATACAGCATATCCTACATCGGGGCCAGCCAACTTGAATTTCTTGCAGAACACATGTGAGAACCTTGCTTGGCGTAAATGTATCTGCTGTGGCGATGGGCGCTTTGTGATTTCTGCTGTTGACGTGATGATGGGTCAAAAGAAAGCCCGGCAAGAAGACCTGTGTGCCCAGCTCATGTCCTTCTGATGGCTTCACACTCCTCGTCCCATCCCTGCCCACCCACCTGTCCATCTGGTACAGGGCACTGTTTCATTCTGTGCTCTCTGCCTAAGAACTCCCTTGGTACCAACGACAGAAACACCAGTACCACTAGACAGTCCTGTGACGTGCGATGCGTTTGCCATTTCTTTGTATGACTTCAGCTGCCTCTAGATTTTGGACCACTTTAACTGTGAAAATGTGGCTCTGTGCCATCAACTAAAAAGACCCCAGTGCCCCCCACTCTCGAGGCACCGAGAGCTGCCCACCCCCGGGGAGGGCTTCAGGCTGCATCAAATCCCATGACCACATCAAAATTCTCGTTCTAGCCATTTGGTTATTGTAGTGTAGGAAAAAATACTTGGTTGGATTTTTCCCCCTAACCAATAGATTTTATATCCCAAAATGAATACATTCACAGAAGCCCCGGAGGGCTCCCATAGTGGAGACTGAGAAGATGATGCCTAAGTTGTTCTCTTTCTGGAGGCCCATCCACCGAGACTATGGGTTTTATCTGCGTTGGGCAAGTCCTGTGTACCTGTACTGTGTGTCCCTATGTCTTATGGAGGTGAGAAGGCCTTCTCTTCACTTCACCTTCAGTGGACGATGTCCACTTACCAAAAACAAGAAGATAAGCACATGAACTGTTGTGTTAATAATGTATTTGGGTAGTTTGGGGTGTGTGTGTGTGTGTGTGTGTGTGTATGTTTTGGTGGCGATGGATGTGGGAGACGTGTTTTCTCCAAGCATCACGTTTCCCTATCAAGTTGACTTTGCAGACCCCGTGGGCTTAACGGTCCTTCGTAGTAACAGGGAAACGCTCTGTCATGCTTTCCTATAAATTATTGTGTTGTAATGCATTCTGTTGTGCTTTCCTTGGCTTTTCCCTGGCGGAAACCTGTCTTAATTTAAAAGTCATTATGTGTTTGTTAGCAGATGGGATTTCAAGCCTTTTGACACTCAGGGCATCTTGTCCTCTGAGATGGGTCTTCAGCTCTGCAGAACGGTCATAGCTTCCTTCTTCCTTGTGCCGTGCTATGGGCAGCCTGGCTGGGGTGTCCCGGGTTGGCTGTGGGATGCCGCAGACACGAGACGGAGTGCCTTTGCAGGTGCGGTGAGCCCCCGGCGAGCCAGCACTGGGATCCCTGTGGGGTCGTCCCAGCTTCTCATGTGAAAAAAAAAAAAAAAAAAAAGTCTGTTGCTAATTCTTTCAATTCTTGCACAATGAAAATCACTGTGATTTGTATATATACCCTAGGAAATTTTTACTGCTGCCTAATTTATGTAATAATACTATTCATTCCAGGTTTGTTTAATAAAACTTTGTTATCTTTTAAGATGCCTGGTTGTGATCTGCTTCTTTGGTTATGGGACAAGCTTGTCTGCGTTCAATGAGTTCAAGGAGTCAGCATTGTCTCTTAATTTTTAATTTTTTTATTGAGGTATCATTGTCTTATGGTATGAGTTTCGGGTGAACCACATAATGATTTTATCTCTATAGATCGCAGAATGGTCACCACCACCAGTGTAGTTAATATTCATCACCACACATGGTTGTGAACTTATTTTTCTTGTGACGAGAACTTTTAAATTCTTCCTTCTGAGCAAGTTTCAAGTATATGATACGGTGTCATTGTATCTCTTTCTGCAAAGGGCAGGACGGTAGATATTTCAACGTTGCTGGATACACTGTGTCTATCAGGAGCACAAAAGCTTCCCTAGACAGTATGTAAACAAATAGGCTGTGTTCCAATAAAGTTTTATTAAAACCAAAGCACGGTTCAGGGGCCGGATTTATTGCCCAGGCCACACTTTACCAGGTTCTAATTCAGTACCTGAGGGTGACTTTGTACATCACCTTTGCAGCTTGTTAAAAATGTGCCGTCTTCATCGTTATAAATAAATAAATAATTTGATTGCACATTCTCTTTACTCACATAGCTCGACCCACAGCTTTCCAAGTTGCCTTCTGCTTGCTAAAACCATGCTGCCTCATCACTCAGGTCAACCTCTATCATCGGTAACACTGACAGCACCTGCTAGAGCCGGGTAGCAGAACGTCCCAGCAGACTGAGGGTCCCACCAGAGCCTGTTAACCTAGTGACCAAGCTTGTCCAGTTCTCCTCCTGGAAATCCCTTGCAAGAAGGAATCTTTCTGGGGACAAGCAGGGCAACTTAGGATCTGGTTCCAAACCTTCTGGGCCGGGACTGTTCCAGAATTCCTGTAGAGTAGGTGCTCACATAGTGACATTCTGGTTTGGGATAGGGAGTGATGTGTGTGTGTGTGTGTGTGTGTGTGTGTGTGTGCGTGTGCATGTGCATATACATTTTGGAGGAAAGCCAGAAGGTTCTTGAAGGATGGATAGAGATGATCCAGGGAACATGTTCTTGACGTTTTTGGATACCCTCATAGGGTTTTTTTCTTTTTCCTGATTTATTTATTTATTTATTTTTTCTAAACCACACATTATTTTCATGCAGGTCTTGCTTCCCTGGAAGCCATGGTCATTTTGCATTTTTGTTAAAAGGATTGGATAACCTTGTCCCCAAAACCTTAAGGAAAAGATTTGTATGGACGTAACATTTTTTTTTTAAACCACCCATTCATTGTTTCCATATCATAGCTGTTGGAAATAGTGGTATTGTGAACATGGGAGTGTGGGGATCTTTTTGAAAGACAAATTGAAAACACAGTGAGATGTCATGTTACCCTTGTTGGACTGGCTGTTATCGAAGACAAGAGATAAGCATTTGCGAGGATGTCTGAGAGACTGGAACCCTCGTACGCTGTTGGTGGCCATGCACGCTGGTGCAACCCCGGTGAAACACGGTGTGGCGGTTCCTCAAGGTACTAAAGATGGAGCTTTCATGGGATCCAGCAATTCCATTATCATCTAATATTTAAAAACACTGCCAAGCATAGGGTGTCTGTCCACTTTAAAGGTAGCGGAATGGAGCCCCAGAAATTTGAGATCTCACAGTTCATCCATCACAGAGCTCAGATTTAAGCACCATGTGGTTCCGGCTCATTCCAGTGAACCACGTGATGTTTTACACTAAAACCTAACAAGATGCTCATTAAACCAAGAACCAGATTCTCTGTGTTCTTCTGATGAGAACATCGGACACCGGATAAAAGTCAAAATGCTGAAGACCTACGGTGACTGTATTCATGGGAAAATTTGGGATTTGATGCTTTGCTTTGGGCAGAAAACTATGATTTACTTAAACTCTGCTTAGTCAGCCAATCTGAGGTCTATTTTAACAGGCAAGTTGCCTTCCAAAAGTTCATGCAAGAAACCGTCTTATGAGCTGTGAAGTTACAAGTGGAGATAAACTTTTTTTGTTGTGGTGGTAAAGAACACGTAATATGAAATCTACGTTCAACAAAATGTTCAGTGCACTCTACGGTGTAGCTAACTGTAGGCAAGGTGTGGGACGACACATCTCCGAAACACAGTCACCTTGCAGAACCCAGATGTCGTGCTCGTTGAACAACAGCAACCCGTTTCTCTGTCTCTCCCCCAGCCAACAGTTGGCCAACGCAGGGAGCTGCCCGCCTGGGTCTTGACTTCCACCCGAAACAGATCTTAGTTCTCAAGGACATCATGGAGAAAAGACTCAGGCTTTAGTGTCTTGTTACAAGAATCTGGCTTCAAGCCCGGTGCAAAACCAGCTCTTAGGGTGCCCTTGGGAGCAATGTCTCGGAAAGCCACAGGCCAAAAAATGAATCTTCGTAATGAATCAGAATTTGTGTGCAGGCTGCTTAAAACCAGTGCCTTGGAAAAAGGGCAGGGGGAGCCCCACAAAAGGCAAAGATTAAAAAGTGAGGTCAGTCCAGTAAGTGGAAACTGCACAAAGGTCACCTGCCCAGCAGATATGTGAGTTGTTTGGTCATTCTGCACCGTGCTGAGTTTTGAGGAAGAGTAATGACCCAGATGTCTGAAAGGCCAGGATGGGTGAATTTGGCATGATGACAGATCCATTAGAGTGCCCCGAAATACCCATTTCACTGTCAACAGATGGTTAGACGTGTTTTCTTTTTCGTGGTTCCTTTGTCTCTCCTACCTAACTCTACAAGCATCCCTTTTCTTAAGGGGTGCAGGCCCTGAGAGTCAAATTTGAGAAATCTGTGCCGCTTTTGGATATAATTTTTTTTTTCGCGTTTATTTGATGGACGCCAGGTTGACTCAGTTGGTTAAGTGTCTGCCTTCAGGTCGGGTCATAATCTCAGTGTCCTGGGATGGAGGCCTGCATCATGCTCTCTGAGCAGTGGGGAGTCTGCTTTTCCCTCTGTCTCTGTGATCTCTCTCACTTTCACTCTGTCCAATAAATAAATGGAAATCTTCAAAAAAAATTTAAAAAGTTGAGCCTAGTTGACGACAGAGTGTTACACTACATTCAAGTGTACCATATAGTGATTCTGTATAGTTTTCTATACGTTAATGCTGTCTTCACCACGGTGTGTCCGCCATCTTTCCCCATACAACGCTGTTACAATACCTTTGACTGAATTCCCTACGCTTTGCCTTTCATTCCCGTGACTCACTCCATAACTGGGCGCCTGTGTCTCCCACACCCTTCTCCCATTTTATCCACCTCCCTACCTTCCTCTTTGGTAACCACCACGGTGTTCTCTGCATCTGTGGGTCTCTTTCTGCTTTTTGTTTGTGTCTCTGTTCACTTGTTTAAGATTCCACATATGGGTGAAATGGTATTTGTCCTTCTCTGAGTTATTTCAGTTAACATAAGCGAAATGGATTTCTAGGTCCATCCGTGTTCTCTGAAAGGGCAACGTCTCATCCCTTTTTAGGGTTGAGTAATATTCCCGTGTATTTAGACATCGCATTTTCTTCATCCGTTTATCTATGAATGGACACTTGGTTTGCTTCTTAGCTTACATCTTGCCTGCAGTAAACATAGGCATGCACAGATCTTTTTGAATTAGTGCTTTTCTTTTCTTTGGGTAAATCTCCAGTAGTGGGATTACTGGATTATATGGTAACTTTATTTTTAACTTTGAGGAACCTCCATTCTGGAATGGCTGCCCCAGTCTGCATTCCCACCTACAGTGCACGAGGGTTCTTTTTCTTCCACATCCTTGCCAACACTTGCTGTTTCTTTTTTTAAAAAATTTGAGGCGCACCTGGGTGGCTCAGTGGGTTAAAGCCTCTGCCTTCGGCTCAGGTCGTGATCCCAGGGTCCTGGGATCGAGCCCCGCATCGGGCTCTCTGCTTGGCGGGGAGCCTGCTTCCTCCTCTCTCTCTGCCAGCCTCTCTGCCTACTTGTGATCTATGTCTGTCAAATAAATAAATAAAATATTTTAAAAAAACTATAAAAAATAAATTTTAGCCACAGAGTATAATCTTAAACATCATTGGGGCTTAACACCAGATCCTGCAAGCTGTGATTTCCAAACCCGCCCTGTGACATGTAGGGCAGAACTATCCAGAACCCCTTCCCCACAGATACACCTGAGACAAAAGGTGAGAAGACACTTCTAACGTATGATAGGAATAACGTACAAATAGTGTTCTCAGATACGGCTTTATTAATGTCTAAATGCAACACCATTTCCTTTCAAGTTGTTATTTTTAGTACTAGTGGGGACTCACCAGATTGAATGTATGACCACTCTTGCATCTTGCTTCGTGTTAGAAAAGAAGTTTTCTGTGCAAAACCTCATTGCCTGCCCCAAATCTCGTTATTTTTCTGTGTTAAATTGGAACTCAGTATTGCTGATTTTATTTATTTATTTATTTATTTATTTATTTATTTATTTGAGAGACAGAGATCACAAGCAGGCAGAAAGGCAGGCAGAGAGAGAGGAGGAAGCAGGCTCCCCATTGAGCAGAGAGCCCGATGTGGGACTCAATCCCAGTACCCTGGGATCATGACCTGAGCCGAAGGTAGAGGTTTTAACCCACCAAACCACCCAGGCGCCCCTAGTATTGCTGATTTAAGGAAGGATTGAAAGCCAGCTGGGGTCAAAAAGAAACCTGTTGCCGTCTTTCCCATGACATCTGTGAGTCAAAAACTGGAATCCTTTTTTTTTTTTTCTTCATTCCCATTTTCCCACAGGCACACACCAGCCCTCTGTTCAGTACATGAGCATTTTACAGGGCAGTAGTAATGGGCCGTCACTATGTCATATTTTCTCTTCCGTAGTTCCTACTCCAGTCTCTGTAAATTT